ATGCTAAAGTCGTCTGTTTTATCACGATTCTATTTAAGGAGAAATATCCGAATTGGCTTTACGGATTGCAAAATCCTTTCATAGAATAAAAGTACGCACGAAAAGATATACAGCAAACCCTGATTTCACGAGAAAATCGGAAAAAAATTAAAAAATTCACTTTTTCTGGCAAAGTAGGATCACGTTCAATACCTGTTTTTACCGATGCTCTACAACGCCATCTATTTCAAGACGGCGCATCTACTTCTAAACGCAATTTCTGCTCTGTCAAACTCTGTTGACGTTCCGAATCCTCGCACAGATCGTGACTTCTATTTGAAAAGAAATATTTTTTTCTATTCATTTAATCTTGCCTCCACAAACTCAGGATTGTTCGTACAAGTCATCCCAATACTGCAAGACGCTTATTTACAATTTGCGATCTCTAAAACTTTTATATTAAGTGAATATTAACCTCAAGTGACAGCTGTACGTGTCAGAAAAAGTGAATTTTTTTTTCCGATTTTCTCGTGAAATCAGGGTTTGCTGTGAAAGGATTTTGGGTAATTATGGAGAAAACGGCCGACCTCACCGATTTTAATGAAACTAGGCTCATTCGACGCGTTTTTGCACGAAAGGCCACCCTCTTGCACCCACCCGTGTGCGTGCGTGCGTGCGTGCGTGCGTGCGTGTGATGATTATTTATATGCATGTATATAGATGTATTCAATATATTGTGTATTTTCTCCTCTCTGATTAATAACCGCTTATAATCGTTGTCGCATGTTTATGCATCTCTAGATCAAGGCTATTGAAATTACGTTCCAAATCTACCTAAGCGCTTCTCCCAACTCGTTTCGCGGCCAAATGGCCGTCATTGCTGAAGGAGGCAGAATTACTAATTCAGTTTGTCTCGTCATCGAAATGCATCTCCATACCATCACTGAACCGCCGTTATGAGCTCTTATTCTCATATCGCAGCGTCGATCACATGGCATCACATTGCTCCATCATCCTGCTAATAGCCCAGATTTGAATCCGATTGAACACATTTCGGACGAGATGGAACGACGATTAAGACACCGCGAAGAACAGCCGCGAAACGAGTTGGGAGAAGCGCTTAGGCAGATCTGGAACGAAATTCCAAAAGACTTGATCCAAAAATGCATAAACATACGACAACGATTACAAGCGGTTATTAATATGAAACAACCTAATTTCCGCGCGGATCAGCTCGTCGTAAATTTCGCTAATCGCGAAAAAGGTTCGCACGGGAAGAGAGAATGCAGAAACTAATAATTAGACAGTAATTCAAGACCAGAGACAGAAACGTTTATTGCGTGTATCGTGTATATTTACAAAAGTGTGTGTATGTGTGCGTGTGTGTGTGTGTGAATGACAAACAGGTGTGTGTCGTGTGTCGATGTACGCAGGTGTATGTGTGTCGTATCGAGACGGCAAGTAGACGAGACGGATACAAGACGTGTATAGAAAAACTACGAGGCGCGGACAAAGAAACTAAGATATTACGGACGGCACGAACAGAAAAACTAGACGTGTAAATTACGGCGCGAGTACGGCGGAAAACGCGGGGGAATCTCCGAATCCCAAGACGGACGCGAGGCGCGGTCGGCGGTATAACAATACGGATACGCGTACGCGAAGTATACGCCAGCGACGGATGACGGTCGCGGCGCGGATAACGCGGTGGGCGTTCCCTCTATGCAATGTCCCCGGTGACGTCACCCCCCGCGGCGGGTTCCCCCCCGCGTACCTTCCCCGCGCACCTCACCCCCCCTCATCACCAAGTGATTTAGAATCGGTGTAGTCTATCTACTATCGACTGTCAAGAACGCTTGACGGAGACCAAGAACACTTGACCCCCTTTTCGCGTCGGATCACCGGAGCCAGGATCGGAGCAGGATTCGTACTGGAGCGGCGGTTATGATAGAAGAAAGCTCCCGGAGCAATAATTACGCGTTATATACTAATTATTGCTCCCGCTCGTTTAATTACGGTCTTTTCCGTTATCGCTTGGCGGTCGGCAATTCCTGCGGAGGGGATTGTCGATCGGCGATGTTCGGTCGTGTTCGGTCGGAGCGGCGGATAGCGCGAAGCGCAGATCGTTCGGCGATCTTCGGACGCGTTCGGTCGGAGCGGCGATAGCTACTGTCGGCGGTAATTCTAATATCGCGAAATATGAAATGTTTCTGGCGGCTGGTATCGTCGGAACGATGCATTGCGGAGTGCATCGTTACAAATATCAGAGAGAAGAAAACACACAATATTAAATACATCCATATACACATAAATAATCATCACATCATCTCACACGCACGCGCGCGCGCGCGCGCGCGCACACACACACACACACACACAGCAGAGAGGGTTTGGAGTCGTAAAATACCGGGGGACTTCTCTTCTTCTTCTTTAATTAATGGCTGTCGCCTCCAAGAATAATAATAGGAGATCGATACGGCCAGATCACGTCACAAATGTAATGACTATATAAGGCGAAGGAGCGTTCGTTTAACGTGTGATTCTTATATATGCGAGGGAAGGAAAGAAGCGCCAAAAGCGGAGCAACATACTCCAAAGAAAATCCTCGCAACAGTGAGTCATATGGCAAGCGAAGGGAAACTTCGCTGAAATGGGAAGGGGGGAGGAAAGGGCAGGGCAGAGCGCCTGCGCGAGTTGCAAGGAGGCGCGAGAATACAAAGCTCAAAAGTGCCTGCAACATATCTTACTAAAGCTTAATATAAGTCTACGAAGGAGTGCTGATGGTTCAGCAATAACGTGCGTAAATTTAGAAATTCTATCGCCGGAAGGTGAGGCTCGATCAATCGCACGCCGTAAAAACCGCGCACCATCTTTAAATAACGGGCATTCATAAATCATATGTAGAATGTCCTGCTGTGGAGAGCCACAGGAACAAGAAGGATCGTCTACCAAATTCTTACGGTGTAAGCTGTGATTTAGATTGTAGTGGTTAGAGCGCAAGCGGTTGATCATGACGACAATCTCTCTGGAAATTTTAGTTTTCAGGCGAAAATACCAGGGCTTATCTGATCTATTGAAAATATTAGTAAAAAAAATAGGAACTTTTAAAATCCGCCAGCGAGTGTAAATATTAATAGAAACTGTTAGAAATTTTTTCTTTAATAACTGCGCAGAGATCCGAATAAGGTACCTTAAAATTAGGTTCAATACCGCACCGAATAGCACGCTTAGCAAGTTGGTCTGCTTTCTCATTCCCCTCGATGCCCCTGTGTGACGGAATCCAAATGAACTTAACGCTTGTGCCATTCCTCCCAGCCTCCTCTAACACCGATTTGATCAGAGGGATAAGGTAATTGTTCTTAGGATTATGGTGATTCTTGACTGTCTCTAAGACACTAAGAGAGTCCGTAATGATCGTTGCGTCAGACAGTTTTAAGTCAATAGCTATGGTGATAGCAGTGTATATCGCATAGGCTTCAGTCGAGAGGATCGAGGTATATGGCGAAAGTTTATGCATAAGCTCAGCGTGTAACTGCGGAGAGAAAACAGAAGCATCCACGCAAAGATTGTGGTCAACCTTGGACCCATCGGTATAGAATAGTGTCGAGTCTTCTGTAAGCTGACGAAACTCATGATCAAATTGAGCCTGGGCACACGCACTAAGAAGCGAGTTAGACATATCAACAGGCGGAGGAGAAAGAGAGGCATAAGAGGGGAAGATTAAAGTAGAGCGATAGGAAAAGCGAAAGTTAAGTAAGGTGAAAGAATAATCTATTTTAGTATGGTAAGAAGTCCATATGTGATGAAAGATAATGGCAGCGGGAAAGTGAGCTTTGAGGTAGTCAATCCGAAAAGCACCAACGGCCAGGTCACAAAGTTGATGAAGTTTATTTATTAGTTTAGTTTATGACATGACTAGGGACTCTCAAGTAAGGAATCAGACAACAGCGTGAAAGATGTGGATTGGCTGCCGCTATTAGTGGGATACTTCCGTTGGTTAGGTTAGTATGCTTTCCTTTTAGAGGACACAAACGTCGTTCTATCCTTCTTGACATTCAACAAATGATAAAGATAGAATGATGTTTGTGTCGAGTGTATCTTTTAAAAGGAAAGCATACTTAGTAATTGCTGATTTAGTTGCTCAGTACTGTTTGTTTAAGATGTAGATATATTATACGTATGTACGGTTCGATTATATAGTTTATATATTTTTTAAATCATTGAAAAATGCGATACTGTGAAGTTCCAAATTGCAAAAATTTAAGTAGAAATGGCCATATAATCATTTCCCGAAATCTCCCACAAGAAAAGAAAAATGGATAATCTATCATGCCTCTGGTCGTATCGGTTGGACACCTAAAAAGTATTCTGCCTTATGTAATGTAAATAGATATAATATTATATAACTATCATTATATATGTATATGTAAAATGATAGAATTATCATATTTATATTAACATAAAGACAGGGAGCAGTTCACAAAGTTCTTAACTATGTTCCATTTCACGTATAATGCGCAGGATTTATCCTTTTATTCTAGTTTGTTTAATACAGGTCTTAATAACAATGCATTTGAATACTCCCGCGCATTAACTAATGTACTTCCGGTATCCCTCTAATGACGATGTTGTCTGATCCCTTACTTGAGGGTCCCTAGACATGACCACGCACAGAAGAAATATTAGAGAAGTAGCGCGAAGTGAGAAGGCGGAATCTAAAAGATAGTGTAAGTTCGATCGTTTCCGCGTAGATGACATTGAGAAGCATAGAGATGCGATAGCCAAAGCAGAGGCGAAGAGTCTGATTTTGAATTACCTGTAAAGCCCGTAAACGGTCGTTCCTCAATAGTCCAAAAATTTGGGCGGCGTATTCCATTGACGCACGTAACATGACCCTATAAATAGTAAGCAGCATGTGAGGGTGAGCACCCCGCCATGTGCCTCGAAGAGCATTGATAATCTGAAGAATTCGTTTACCTTTATTTATGACAGAAGACATGTGAGCCTTGCCGGACAATTTCGGGTCAAGCAAAACCCCCAGAAAGCGAACAGTGTTAGAGGGTAAGAAATGGTGATTGTGAAGCGAAATAGAATAGTTCATGTGCGCCACCGACCTCTTAAGAGGAAAGATCATAAGTTGCGTTTTGGGCAAAGGTATCTCCAGACCACGCTCACGTAAGTAAAGGCCTAAACCCTGCAAAGAAAGCTCCACGGATCGAATGGCAGCCGTAATATTTCTCTGAGGTGAAAAGATAACGATGTCATCCGCAAACTGCAGGAGTTCAGTATCCGGGTGAAGTGCATCATTTACTTTCCTTAAGTAAAGGTTGAAAAGAGTAGAACTAAGGATAGAACCTTAGGGGGTACCCTTAAATGTGGTTCTAGGCGCTGAGATAGAGCCCTGTGTGATGAATTGAACATTGCGAGATGAAATAAGGTTCGCAATAAAGAATAGAAGAAGGGGAGGAAAGTTTAAACTTTGCAGGTCTTGTATGAGAATATGAGGAAGTACATTGTCAAAGGCCGATTTGATATCTACAAATACTACAACAGTATCCCGGTTGGTTAGGAATCCCGAGTGAATGCTAGCCACAAGAGCAGTAAGACGATAGTTCATGCCAGTATAGGATACTGGCATGAACGGAACTTCCGGAAGCCAAATTGATTGTTGGGTAGAAAGTCAGATAAAGGAGACTCAATGAACCAATAAAGACAATTCAGAATCATCTTTTCCATAATCTTGAGTAGGCAGGAGAGAAATAGGACGGACCCCGCTGTTATGTTAGGCTTAGGTAGTAAATGAATAAGAGAGTGAGACCACTGAGAAGGGAAAATGGAGCAACGGAAGAAATTATTGAAGATATCGAGAAGTGAAGTAAGAAGAGCAGGCGGAAAGGCCTTAATAATACGATAGTCAATCCTATCAAGGCCCGGGCTAGAGGAGGCTTTGACAGAATAGAGAGCGGCCCGAAGTTCATCGAGTGTGAAGGGTTCATCTAGCCAAACGAGATTGCCTTGATACGGCGAAAGAGGCGGAGGGATAGGAGGAGGACAGAAAGGAGGACAAAGTTTATCGATGGCATCCTGGATGATAGCAGACCTGTCTTCATTCCTATTTTGAGAGGATGAGCTGGCGGGATCAAGTCGACGATTACGAAACCGCTTGAGCATACGCCATATGACGACAGTCGGAATTAGACCGTCAAGAGAACCACAAAAATTCCTCCAGCTAGTGCGTTTAGCCTTACGTAAGATCTTGCGAGTTTGTAATACCACAGAGCGATAGAAGATATAGTTATCTCTGGTAGGATCACGCTTGAAGACTCTAAGAGCCTCTCTACGACGCTCCACAGCCTCCGTACATTCTGGATTCCACCAAGGAGACGGGGGGGGGACCCCTATGAGTATAAGATGCACGCGAAGATATAGAAGAAGGAGGGGGCTTAGACGGAGAGAAGTTTTCGTAGCTAGCAGAGACGAGTTCCATAAAGGTGTTATGTTGTGAAACCGGATCGTCCGGGTCGATATCTTTGATACTCTGGGAAATAAAGGCGGCATTGGTATGCAGGTAATGTACAACCTCAGTCCATTGAGGCTTGGAAAGTTTAATTTTGTACGAAAAGACCGCAACAGTGCGGACCATACAGTTAACTTGCACTTCCACAGGATAGTGATCACTACCAAATAGGTCCGGAAGAATACGAGTATCGCACAGAGAAGAAATGCGCGGAGAAGCAATAGCAAGATCGATAGTAGAAGAACTAGAAGAGGAAGAGGAAACGTGAGTGGGAGAAGAAGGTGGATTAAGGATCACCAGGTGATAATCATCAATGCATTTGCTAAGCATATGTGCAGCAGGATTAGTGCGTGAACCTCCCCACATGAGGTGGTGGGCATTGAAATCACCAAGCATCATAGAGAAGTCATGTTTGTCAAGAAAGAAGGAAAGAGAAGAAATAGAAGCGTGAGAAGCAGGAACATTCTGATGTCTGTAAGTACCTAAAAGAAATAGGCGAGAGTTATTAAAGGAGATGCCCAAAACCTCGAAAGAATCGTCGATCATAGAGGATAAATCTACAGAAGAGAAAACGATAGGATTACGGATGAGAACAATCATCCTCCTGATATTGGCCTGGTTAGAATCTATGCGTAAGGAAACCCTCACACGAAAGTCATGGAGGGGGCCAACACAGGTTTCAGCCAAAAATAAAACATCAAGAAACTCCAACATTTTCTCGATGCCTCCTTTTTTACTCAAAGCACCACGATAATTCCAATATGCAACTCTAATAGAACGCAAATTATACATTATCGTTTAAGAGAGTTTGAAGAGTGTTAAGGTAGCTGTGGAAGTCTGGACCGAATAAAGAGGTGAGGAACGCGCTAGGAATACTATTGAATAACTTGAGCAAAAAAGAAATTATCACACGAATAATATGAGAGAAGCCGTTAGCGTTGGAATCCGAGGTGGGAAAAGAGGAGGGGGGACTAGATGGGAGAGGGGAGGAGTATGCATGAGGGGAAAAAGAGGAAGAAGCGGGAGGAGAAAGAGAACCCGGGGGGTTATGGAGGGGAAAGCTAGGCATTCTGCCGTTAGGTGCAAAAAGAAGAGAATTGTGAGCCTCCTGCATAGAGTTGCCAGAGTTCATGGCCCGAGAATCCCTAGGTTTAACATTGCTATCAGGATGCTCATTTCGTTGAGTGCGCTGTTGTACCTTTCGGTGCAACAAGATATTATTTTGGGATTCGATCCGCTCAAAGGGTTGGAACCCACGAGGAAAACGAGGAAAGTGGTCAAGGTCATAGAACAAACACACACTGCATCACACTTTTATTAAAATTACCCCTTTTATTTATTATAACACTTACAATTTCGAGTTGTTATTACCACTGATTACATTTATTCAAGTGATCGTAACCCTTTATTTAATTATTATAATTACCCGATTAATTGATTACACTTTGGTTGTTAATTGATTAAGTTACAATTCGAATAGTTGGTTACAATTGTCGAATTGATTTAATTAAAGAATATATTCGGGTTAAAGTCCTCGCTCGTGACTTAGACCGGTCGGCGAAACTCGTTATCGCGAATGTAATATGACTCAGTTCTCGCGACGCGCGTAACATATCGTTACGTTTAGATGTATGACAAGACTCTCTCGCCGGTCCTTAGACCGCCGAATATATAGGCGTCGCGGAGTCATCGAACTAGCGGCATTCGTGCCGTGTGCAACGCGGACTTCGTCCTCTTGCATTTCGGCAGTTCGTTGTCCTGTCGAAATGCAAGATTTGCTTTTTATTAATAATTGTTCGATGTGCGTGCGGTCATTGCTTGCGTTCGATCAGTGATCGTTGTCCGCACGCGTTGTGGAATTTGTAGCCTTGCATTTCCGCAAGTCGTTGATATGCCGAAATGCAAAGGTTGCTTTGCAGTAATAATCTTGCATTTCCGCCAGCTCGTTGCTAGGCTGAAATGCGAGACTTAATTGTGGTAGCACTCGCAGGCTACAACACCCCTCCCCCGTTAGAAAAGAAAAACGGAGGAACGGAGTTTTTCGTTAAGTAATAATTTTAGAAACGAGTACTTTTGCTTCTTTTCAATATTGATCTAGGAAAACTAAAACTATTTTCCATTTCTAATTCCTCGTTTCGGTAAAAATGTAGATTAAGGGAGCC